CTCTCTTAAAGGGGACCTTATTGAGACGGTCTATATCCCCAAGGCTGCCCCTAATCCTGACTCCCAGTCTATGTCTTGTTGACAGTTGAGCCTATAGCATGGATTTTCAACTATGTCAGGAATATTAATAGCAGTAATAATCGTAATCATAAGAATAGCAATAACATAAAGAGCAAAAATAGCGACTATAGTACTCGTAGTAACAAGAAGAGTTTAGTGCTCGAGGTTTAGGATCAGTGTATACCCGAACCCTCGCACCTCAAGATTTCGAAGCTCCTACTCTTTTGCTACATTGACATAGCCATGGCAAAGCACTGGGATTGCGGATGGGTCCTACGGCCGAGATAGCAGAAGGTTCATGTCAAAGGTAACGATGTGCATCTCATAGCGAGCATCGGAATAACATGAGCAGTGCCCGCAGACAATACCGTTATCAGCCATTACAAGGCGAATAACCAGCAATCAGGCCACTGATGAGAAAACGGCACTTGCCACGCCGACTTATTTCTAAGATTCAGACTAATTGCATTCGTAATCGTGACGGTAGCAGTAATCGTAAGGAGTGGTCCTGGTCCTACGTAGTAGTCATGTTCGGCACAATGATCACTATCGACAGCGAAGCAGTAGGGCTGGCAACGATATCTGTTGTTGGTGGCAGAACAAACAATGTGATTGCAACAGAATGTCTTACTATGCACACATGCGGGCAGCCACAGACGAGTTTCCCCGTTTCTGCAGCAGACCTCGGTACATACATATCTTTTATTCGTAACGTACATGGTAGGCACAGGAGTCTTGCTTGTTGAAGGCAGACGAACCCTAGCAGCAAGCACATACTCGTCGTCATAGCAATATAGTCTTGATGCATGAAGAGCAGAGCGATGGTAGTACCGGGCAATCATTTTGTTTTGTGTTTGCTGTTTGCGGTGTGTGTCTTTGTTCGATGACTTGGTGTTTCCGTTGGTGTGGAGCATTATGAGTCATATATGCCAACTCACGCGCAGTTCCACTTGCATTATTCTGGATACAAGATCTCAGATAAGCACCCGAAGCCCAAAACCTTAATTTGCAGTTTGTCGAAATCAGGCGACATCGTGCTTCGTGTTCCTGGTTGCTTGCAATTTGAAACAATTCCGGCCGAAGTTCTCTGTTCCAAACATACCATGCAGTGTGATTCTCCCAGAGTTGTAGTACCTGTAGCAATATAGAGTTATAGAGGGTCTTAATACTTAAAAGAGGGTTTAGGAGTATTGGTATTTACTTAGGTCCCTATATTACTCAGGCCGTTGAATGATTTGGGCAGGGTTTCTACCCTGCAGCTGTGCCAGTAGTACAGGATGCTTAGTGTAAGGAAGTGAACCGGTGTCCTTATGAGTGGATATCGACAGTGGGCCCCGTCTCCACCTTGCAGGCAAGAGCTAGGCCCCTCGTTCCCGCAGGTTGAGGCACGGTTTGGAAGCCTCCGTGTGTGAGAGTTTACGGGAAAAACGCGGACATGATCCGACTCTAAACCGAAATGCCCCGCCCCGGGACATCCGCGCGCATTGCAACCGGAATCCTAACGATGCTTACACAGACCCCGGCCATCCCAACTAAACCCTAAGTCCTAAACCCTCAACTTCTCTGCCCTCATAGCCTAATCCGACCGTTAGGCTTTGGATACTAAACCCTGATTCCTAAACCCTCAACTTCTCTGCCCTCATAGCCTTAAAAACCCTAAACCTAAACCCTAAACCCTAACCTTAGGCTTTGGATGAGTGTTCCCCCTCCTGGCCTACGGTCTGCGCCCTTCGTCGCACCGTGATCCGGGCCCCGGAGACGACCGAGCCGCCCCTGGCGCGCGCCCTGTGCAGAATTTGGGGGTTTAGGGTTTAGGGTTTTAGGGTTTAGGGTTTAGGGTTTATAGGGTTTAGGGTTTAGGGTTTTTGGGACCCTAGTATAGTACCCTAAATAGTAGGATCCTTTATGATAAGGACCCCAAATTAAGGTACCCTAATTTCGGAAACTCCCATTTGGAGGCCTTACGCAACGGCGGCTAAGTAGAATGTACGGGTTTCTTGAATAGGAATTTCTACTAGGGTTTGGGCAAGTATCCCCCCAAAAATGGCACTTAGGATCCTCTGGGTTTGTGTAGGAGCCTTGGTAGACGAGGGCTTTGAGTGAAGAGGGGTCTTTCAACGGGCTGCAGAAAAGGTGCACTAGGGTTTTCGCAGGTGCTGGTAGGGCCTTGGCAAGGGCTTCAATGATTGAAAGCGGGTTCCAGTAGAAATATGTGTACTTGCAAGGGGGCTGGTACTTGCAGTCTGAAACTACTCTACTTAGCTGTCATAAGACAAGGTATGGGTACAGCATCCCCTTTTCGAGTATTGATAGCTGTGCTGTTCAACATATTATATTCACTAAATTCCCTCAAGACCCCAAAGCCTAGTCCTCAACGAACGCGCCATTTAGGACATATGGGTTCTGGGGATGTAGGTCCCGGGCTGCGTGATTAGAAGATTGAGCTGTCGGTATTAGGAGTTGTGGTTGAAGTTTGAAGCCTAAGCCCCCTAAACCCTAAACCCGTTAAGTGGAGTTTAGAAGTTTCGGATTTCAGGTGGGATGCGCATCACGCGAGGTTGCTCAAGAATGAAGTAGCGAGACGTCTTCCACAAAAGACACCAAGTTTCACAATCTTGCTTCTAACAACAATAAAATCAGTTTCTCATACCCTAAGCCCTATAACCCCTAAATTATACTCTCTACATATTCAATATAATTAATCCTACGAAGTGCCAAGGTGGGAAGCAAGCCTTCGAACTGAATGGCGGAACGGGCACTCACGTGGATGCACCCTCGCACTTCATTGCAGGCGCGGCCATCTTTGGCGAAGGGCTTAAGTGCCTGACAAGCAGCACAGTCTGCGTGCGTGTATGAGATATGAAGACGTCCATATATATATATATATGTATGATGATGATGATGATGATATGTACTGGATGTTGCGTATTACAAAATACATAAACGCATAGATATACAACATAATGTTATGTGTCATGCAGTATATGTTATGTAATTTATTTTGAAATCTATTATAATATAATACCGAACCCCAGCTTCAAGGTGGGCGTACTATCGACCAGCTACGGTTGAATGAGCTTGTGGACGTCCCATTGGCTGTGGTTGACGTTTCAACTGCCTGCAGCACGGATCCGGACCACCAGGTGCGTGGGCGTAGGTTCTATAGGGCTTTGTCCGCGGATTTCGCATGGGTGCCGAATGAGCTTATCAACGCCAGAGGGCTGAAACCCTAAGCTCCTAAACCCTGAATCCCCGAAGCCCTAAACTTTAAACCCCGAAACCCCCAGATACTGGCATCGAACCTGCCAAGAACCCTAAACCCTAAACCCTAAACCGACGTGACAGGTAACTCAAGACGAGCTCACCGCAGACGAAGAGCTTCAGGGTCGTATTCTTCCAGGAGATCTCTCCCCTGCAGATTCTTTGGGGCCGAGTAGCTAACCTTGAACCTCTTGGGGCTTATATATTCCTACCATATTTCAAAAGGTTAACCCTTTTTTGGGCCAGGGTACTCAGCCCCTATGGATTAATGTTTAGGGCTTTGAGGGTTTAGGGAAGTAGATCACGAAACTTTGGGTCTTAACTAGGGCTCGATTAGATGGCTCCGAATATGTCGCGCTTTTAGGACCAGAGTTTCTGAACCAGGTTCCTATAGTATTTGATTCCAGCTTCTAAACCCTAAACCCTAAATCCTAAGCCGTGGATCTTCGAGTTGTTGCATGACTCTAAACCCTAAACCCTGAAATAGCCACTTGGTTTCAGGAAGTCTCGTTTGCGTTCGAACCGGCTGGGCGGCACGACATAGAGAGGCACGGGGGGATGGCAAGAGCTGAAAGGGGTTTCGGAAACTTGGAGAACTTGGTATTTCGAAAACTTAGGATGTTGGGTAATATTGTTAGAAACCCTAAACCCTAAACCCGAGGTATACTAGAAGGGATCAGGTGCATCATAGGGACTATCAGGGGATGCCACTTCTTTCTTGGCGCTTCATGTCCGCCAGTGAGTTCGAGAGACTGCTTTTTCTCTTGCAGAACCCAGCACGGCGTGTACAGGTCCTAAGCGAACCCCACAAACCCTCAACCCTGTCCCCCAAGCCCCAAACCGGATTATAGAGTCCAAATCCTTGATGCTGCCAATATTGTTGTAGGGATTTCCTTATACGATAAGCCCGCGAAGCCTTGTTCTCCTGTTTTACTATATGTGTAGTGCCCTGATTGTTCCTTTCCTTTAGGGGTTCTTGTTTTAGGGTTTGGGTTCAGAGACTAGGGTTTCGGGGGGGCTTAGGGTCATTCTTCTAGCTTAGGGGTCAATGGACTCCGGCCAAAACACAATAGGATAATCTGAGTCAGCTGTTTTTCGGCTAGGGTACCCAGAACGTGGATCTATCTGCGGGCAAAATAAGATCCTCTTCGAGCACTGAACCCAAAATGCCAACCCCCTTATATAACTCGAAACAATCCGGTTCTAAACATTCAAGCACATATCAATCCCCAACCTCAAGCTTCAGCCATCCAAACCGCAAGCGGAGCTCTGAACCCGAGGATCTAAGCACCTTAAGACCTGACTTTTTATCCAGAGAAATGCAACCTGCACTTCGAGGCAGAGCCCTCCAGCTTGAACCTAGCCCCCTAC